GGGCTGCAGTAAGGTTGGCTATTTCATTGACGATTTTTGCTTTTTCTACCGTTAGGGCTCGTAAGCTACCTAGTGTCGGGTCACCAGTGACCTCGGCTATCTCTTCTTCCAGTAGCTCTAGGCTTTCCTCGGTCGCCGTTAGGAGACGAGTGTTGTTCCGTTGGCGTCATTCCGCCGCCACGTCAAGCCTGTTCCGGGTCTCCTCTGAGTACACCGGTGCTACCAACACTGTATGTTTCAGGTTCCGTAGCTCATTGCTAATGTCGTCACCCATCTGTTGTCCAACGTAGATGGTGATCTTCTCCCATGTTCGTATCATCTGGTCTGCCGTTCCAGATCCAGTTGTACCGAAATTGAACACATGTTGTTCTAGGGCCTTGCATGAACCTTTTTGTTGGTTCGAAGACGATGGGCTGGATCTTCCACGCCCTCCTCGTCCTCTGCCACCTCGGCCACTCCTTCCTTTACATCTACCGCTCATTTTCTATGCTATGGTAGGTGGACTATTTCAATTCTTTCTTTTTTATTTGGCTAGCTCTTTATTTTAAGTTCTCGTCCGACTACTTATTCGTCTTATGGCTATGGGGCGATAAAGTTCAAATTATACTCCTGGCTAGGGAGTGTTAAAACTATTGCTAAGGATCTTGCAAGGGTGGGCCCGATTGCTTCACACACTGTGCGGTCGCGGCCATTCCAAACGCGTTTCCTTGTGTATTGTTTCCTTGGTTGGGTACCCGTCCTTGGTCCCTGCACTGGCTCTATGGCTTTCGCGCTTGTTGTTGGCTCTGACAGTTCCGTCTGGATACTGTCGGCTCTCCTTTCAGCAATCCTTTTGGATTCTGCCGATGAAACTCTTGCTGCCGCCGACGAAACTTGTTGCTCATTGCGGTCTTGATCCGTCCTCGGATTCTTCTGCTCTCGCCGTGTCGTTGCGTCGTCGCTTCGAGGCTCTTCTCTTGTTGCTGTCGTCTTCGACAGTCTCCTCGCTGTTGCTGTCGTTCGTTCGACAGGCTTCTGCTTGGTTGGTATCGTATCGGTCTTCATTCTTTGGTACGGCGGTCGCGTCGTGGCCGATCTTCTTCTCGCGTCGTAGCGTTCGGCCGATCCTCGGTCGTTCTTCGCGTCGCGATATTCCTGCGACTACTGCTCTATCCTCGTTGGCGATAGGAAGCATAACTTTTTCAGTAGTATGTTAGTTGCTCTAAGCTCTCTTCTAGTTACCATTGCTATTGAGATACTACTGAAAAAGTGGGTGGGCTCTGTATTTCTACTGTAGAAATTCTAGTACAGAGGTACAGGTTCAATCCCTAATCGCGAATCCCCAACAGGTCCCATCAAGTCATCTGATAAGGAATGATACAAGGGGTCACGATACAACGTCCAAGTTGAATGGGAAACTGGGGAGATCACTTGGGAGCCTCTCACCACCAAAGACAAGATGGGAGTACATGAGTCTGATCCAGTCACGGTCGCCATTTATGCTTAAGAGCACGGTCTACTAGACACAGTTGGATGGAAATTACCTGGACTCAAGAAGATCGCAAAGACTCAAAAGCGACTCGTACGAGTGGCTAACCAAGCAAAGCTTCACTCCTTCAGGACCAAGCCCGTATTCATGTACGGATTCCAAGTTCCTCGCAACCACGACCAAGCCATGGAACTAGATGCACGCAATGGAGACACCAAATGGAGAGATGCCGAGATGACCGAACTCAACCAGATTGATGAGTACGAGACCTTCATCAACAAAGGAAAGGGACATAACACTGGACCAGATTGGAAGAAGATCCAGGTACACATGGTATATGCAGTCAAGCACGATGGACGACACAAAGCACGGCTTGTCGCTGGAGGACATCTCACTGACACACCAATAGACACCATCTATTCCAGTGTGGTTTCAATACGTGGAATTCACATTCTCACATTCCTCACAGAACTCAACGATTGTGAGGTATGGGCAACAGACATAGGAAACGCCTACTTGGAATCGTTTACGAAAGAGAAGGTGTAAATTGTTGCCGGACCTGAGTTTGGAGAGCGAGAAGGATGCACCCTCATCATCAGGCATGTCTTATATGGACTCAAGTCATCTGGATTAGGCTGGCACGAACGATTCGCAGATGTTCTCCGTTCTATGGGATTCTTCCCTTCGAAGGCCGAATCGGAACTTCCGATTTGGATTGCCCACTGTAGACTACCGATGACAGACTGGTATATCTTCTGTGTGTCCATATCAAGTAGCCTCGTTTGTTCAGTTTCTGGGTGGTCTCCTTTGATGAGTGGAGACGAGGCCTGTTTCGGCATGTGTCCGAAGATCCTTTTGTAGTTGCTGAGCACTTTCTCAATGTATTTGTGAGGTGCGTAGCTCAGTACTCCGTTCTCTTCACGGAAGAAGTCACATCCTAGATGGAAGGTTCCCTTTAGTTTGAACTTGTGCTCCCCTTCCAATGTCGCGATGATCTTGGATGCGTCTTTGCTGACAATAAGGAGGTCGTCTACGTATACAGCAATGTACTCGTAGTAGTTCCCTTTATCTCGCATCCAGATGTCTGATTCGGCCTTCGAAGGGAAGAATCCCATAGAATGGAGAACATCTGTGAATCGTTCGTGCCAGCCTAATCCAGATGACTTGAGTCCATATAAGACATGCCTGATGATGAGGGTGCATCCTTCTCGCTCTCCAAACTCAGGTCCGGCAACAATTTACATCTTCTCTTTCATAAACGATTCCAAGTAGTCGTTTCCTATGTTTGTTGCCCATACCTCACAATCGTTGAGTTCTGTGAGGAATGTGAGAATGTGAATTCCACGTAGTGAAACCACACTGGAATAGACGGAGTCTATTGGTGTGTCAGTGAGATGTCCTCCAGCGACAAGCCGTGCTTTGTGTCGTCCATCGTGCTTGACTGCATATACCATGTTTACCTGGATCTTCTTCCAATCTGGTCCAGGGTTATGTCCCTTTCCTTTGTTGATGAAGGTCTCGTACTCATCAATCTGGTTGAGTTCGGTCATCTCGGCATCTCTCCATTTGGTGTCTCCATTGCGTGCATCTAGTTCCATGGCTTGGTCGTGGTTGCGCGGAAGTTGGAATCCGTACATGAATACGGGCTTGGTCCTGAAGGAGTGTAGCTTTGCTTGGTTAGCTGCTCGTACGAGTCGCTTTTGAGTCTGTGCGATCTTCTTGAGTCCAGGTAATTTCCATCCAACTATGTCTAGTAGACCGTGCTCTTCAGCATAAATGGCGAAAAAACAAAATTATATTTTAAAGGCCACACCGCGTCAGACAATCCCGCTGAACGGTGCCGTGACGAACCCGCATACCTCAGACGCACAGAGGCGCCCACTTAGGAACGGGCCTAGTGTAAGCCCCCCACCGGAGAAATTGAACAAAACTCCGAAGGGTGCTGTATGACTAACTATCTAGGCTAGGCTAAATCGCCCACTATTGCTATGGGAATCCCACATCGGCGCATAGTTACCGTGATTGGGAAGGCTGCTCGCGTGCATGCTCATCCCTCATTGCTTTGTCAACAACTGGAAGCCAATTGGCCAGCCATGCTTTGATATCCCCCGGCCCTTTGGCCATCTGTTCTTCCAGGGGTCATTTGAAGATGGTATCAAGGAGATGCGCTGGGAGCAGATTCGCTTTTTCATACAGGAGCTCAACCTCTCTTTGGAGCTGTTCGTGTTTCTTGCGCCATTTCTGTTCCTGATCGCGGCCATGCCTAGCGGCATTGCGATCTTCCCAGAGATTCCACCACTGCTGGATCAGAACAGATGCCAGATTGGTTACCCAAAGCTGCCCGGTTTTGGTGGTCTCAATGGAACCGACCCGATGCAGATATTCATCCTGGTGCTTGGCCCATTGCTTGGCCAGCCGTCCCCGCATGAGGTTGTCCCACCCGATCAAGTTCTGAGTGTCAACCAGGTCCCTGTACCGTTCTGGATAATGCCACGGATGTAGGAACCGGTCTTCAAAGTGATATTGGAGACCATCAAGAACAATTTCCAATAGGAAGGGGTCTGTAGAATCCTTTCGCAGCTTGGTACTGATCGCTCGCTGCATTTGTCCCATCCAAAGATCCACATCAACGTGTGGGCACCTGTAGACATGTGTCTCAGTCTCATGATCACAACCGCAACGGGGGCAGTGGTGATCATACTTGGGATCATCTCGATGTATTCGTTTCCCCACTGGCAGCAGTTGAAAGAGAAACTTCACAATGGTGGGTTTGTGGAGTTCATGACGATTGACAGCACGACTATGAGCTGTCCAATCAACCAGTGCCGGTGTGTCTTCGTCCCAATCTGGATTAAGTTTGACAATGTGGTCAAATAACGGTTGGTCGTTCCTCAAATGCCACAGCGTTCGTGGGAGTTTGTATGTACATGTTCCTTTGGGAAGGTGCAGCTGGGCCAGGTTGGCCGGGAATCGGAGTACCTTGGAGTGGTCCTGTTTCATGTGTCTGCTCATGTAGCTCCCTGCCAGTTTGTCGGCTCTGCAGTTCAGTTGAGCCTTCAAAGGCAGTGTCTTGATTGCCCTGTGCTTGTCCTGGTGCGATTTGATGTGCTCCATCTTGGGCACTGTGACGGCAGCCCGAAACAAACCCTCGATCTGCTGTAAGACATCCCAGTCGGAGTTCAAGGAATCATTGGGGTACCAGCCTTCGTAGTCCAGACAGCCAGCACACTTGTTGGTAACGGATTCATTATCAAGTGCATAAATGGCGACTGTGACTGGATCAGACTCATGTACTCCCATCTTGTCTTTGGTGGTGAGAGGTTCCCAAGTGATCTCCCCAGTTTCCCATTCAACTTGGACGTTGTATCGTGACCCCTTGTATCGTTCCTTATCAGATGACTTGATGGGACCTTGGTGATCTTGCGGAAATTCCAAGTGCCATCCCAAGTCTGATCTTGTTCAATGTAGTCTACGATGTCGTTGTAGGCTACGATCTCCTCATACTCGTCATTGACTCTGCATTTGAACTTGATCATATCGGGATGTTGCTGAACTTCTCCTTGTGGTGTTTGACTCTTTCAAGGATCTTGGCTCTTACTCGAGTTCCATCTTCTGCAGGCGGCATGAGAAATGTTCTTTCGATCATCTGTTCAGGAGGTGGTCCTGATTCGGTGGGATTGTCAATCTTCATTTGTCGTTTGTTGAAGATGAACGGTTTCTCTGTGTTAGATGATCCTTTCTCGCGCTCGTCCTTCTGATGGCTTGCAATGTTGTCGTCATCGTCGTTGACTGTCTCTACTTGGGGTATTTCCCTGAGAGGTGGTTCGTCCATTGGTGTAGGTTCTTCTGGAGTGGTCTCCCCTATCTCCCCTTCTTCGCCATCGTCTGGAAGGTCAAAAGGGCTCTGGTTCATGTCGATAGTAGGCAGTCTAGCATCATCGCCTTCTTCGTCTCTTTTAGACCTGACGTATATGCGCTATGGAACTGCTCCTGCTTCGACGTCGAGCTTGAGGTTGTTGATCCCTTCCTTTGCGAGTCTGACTCTGGACCGACATAAGATCTGTTTGGTATCATCTGTGAGGATCTTGAAGGTAAGTTGGTGTCCAACATTCCAGGCAAACCCAATAAAACGTCCACAAATCTCTGAAGACTTGTCGTGTCCTGGTTGGGCATTGTACCCTTGATCCTTGTATCGCGGAACATAAACAACATCCCAGAACAGGAATGCGAGCAGAATGCTGATGTCCATGGTTTGTCCAGTAAGAACTTCAAGTGGTGGTCTCCATCCAGCTGATTTTTCTGCTGTATGATTCATAACATCACCTATCCATTGCATGCACAGTAGCCAAGCTTCGGGATCAACATTTCGCCAGTTCATGAACCAGTTCATCTGAAAAATCCTACGGGCTTTTTAGTTGGGTTCAATGTTTTGCTGTTGTAGTAGCATGTTTGACTTCGGAGTGGATGTTTCGAATTGATGTGGGATGTTTGGCTTTGAAAAATGATAGAAAACATCTGGTTCGATGATTGAATCGTAGGCCGATGAAACATCATCTAACAATGTGAAACATTGAGCGTGCCGTCCCGCCTCTCTTCCAACAAACTTACAACGGGGGACCCGTGTTGAGCAGCAGCACGCCTGGGGAACCCCCCGTCCGAGTTTCCACACCCCGCAGTGTGGAAACTTGAACCCTGATGGGTTCTCGCAACTATGACCCTAATCATGGTTGCCCAGAGGACCATCTCACAATTGGCAAAAATTAATTCCCACGCTCCTCACCTACAAGTCAAGTACATCTCTACACCTCGCAGGTCATCACCTGCGTTCCGGAAATGGATACCCCACATGATGATGCACCGCATCAGCTCCTCAATGCCTCTCGAACAAGATTACCCTTAAAAAAGGCAACGACATCGTGATGTTGCCTCTCGCGCTATGAGCCAATTTTGCCTTCGTTCGCCTGTCACTTTTGGCGTCGTCCTCCAAAATGATGAAACGAATATCTACATTGGACACTCACTCTACGCCTACCCCGTGAATCCGAGCCAGGCCTCTCCTTAAGACAATCTCTACGCTATTGTGGTGGGGAACGATCTTCGAAGCGCTATCACGGTGGTCCTGCCCATGTCAGCCGTGCGTATAGAGGAACCATGTTTGCGGCTGTTCCGGCTCCTGTGCTACACAGTGGCCCCCACGGCGGTGGTGTCCCGGATACTGATGTCTTCCGTGTCTGTCCCGTGATGCCTCTTCCGTCCTATCTTTCTGAAGCCATCCTTGCGGCCCGTCCCGAAGGACAGTACAGTCTTCCCCAGTTCCGTGCGGAAGTCCTCACCCCCGAGATATCTCACGCGGATCCTGCGCGACAGGCTGCCATCGTCCCTTTGGTCCAGTGGTTCCGCGCCTGTTGTACGTTGGTCGCGGGAGGTCATACGTCCACTAGTAATGACGCAGCCAACATGGCCACGCCCATTAGCGCTAACGCGCTCCAACAAAGCACCAACCGGGCGCTCTCCCCCTACCTGGCGGCACTTGGCGCGGTAGGTCCGGGCCTGACCAATGCAACCTTCAATGCGGGAATCACGAACCTACGTGATACGCTGGAGGCCACTGTTGAACAACAACTCCAGTACGACCGTGAGAAGAGCAACAAAACCTTCACGGATAATTCGGGGCTGCCCTAGCCACTCGCGTCCACAACCTCTGTAACGTGGCTGATGACGCAAACCTTCCAGTCATTCACCGTCTACTCGCGAAGTCCCCCAAAGGGAATGAACACGGGATCCTGCAAGCTCAACTAGACGAACGCACTCAGGCATCGGCACTGCCCATTAACCTCGCGAACAAACCCTTGGTCACTGGACACATCCTGGATCGTGTCTTCCGCAAGTACTTCATGAACGGTCAAGGGACCACCTTGGGTGAAGGCCTCTCCCCCTTCTCAGTAGTATGCCAAGGCCATTCGGAAGCCAAGGCAGTCCAGGACTTAGCAGCTCGAGCAGAGTACATTGAGAAGGGAGCCTCCGTCACCTTGGAAGATGCCATCGCCATCACTTCCACCGACGTCAAGTTTCCCACCGATGGTTGCATTGCGGAGGAGAAGCTCTATGGGTTATCCATCATGATAGATGTCTTCCATGGAGGAAACCATCCAGTTTCGCGCTCGGTGCGTGATGTGGCCCTCTCGCTGGGATCCTACCTCCACACCATTCATGGCATAAACGCTGACAGCCGAAGTGTGGCGGTGGACTTGTGCCGTCGCATCCTTTTCGAGGTCCAACAAGATTACTTCCTGTGGGTCAACGAAGCTATCCTAAATCCGGGCGCTGCTGCCCCCAACTTTGGAGCACTCACTAGACTCGTTCAATCCTCCCGTGCCTCGTCTCTCGCTGAGTTCCATGCTCACTGGTATTCGTTCTTCAAGCCCGCTCCCGAGCCACCTACCGTAGCAAGAAGCCTGCCGGAGCGAACCAACAGCGAGCGGGAGCACACCCGGTCACCAACGTCCACGGCGACGAGGACCTCTTGAAGCGTTTCCAGGACTCGGGATTCCGCTCCATGACTGAGATGACCAAGGTCCAACAGTATACTATTCCCAAGCACGGTGGTCAAGACGTCTGTATGGCCTGGGCCCTCAAGGGCAGCTGCACCTCCGGATGCAAGCGCGCTGCCACCCACAAGCGCTACTCAGCAGCTATGGTGCAGAAGCTCCACACTCTCCTCATGGACTGTTGAGTTGCTGACCCGCATCCCTGAGTCTCCACGCCTGGACTCGCCACCCGTATTGGAGCGCCCGCTCCTATCTCGGTGGCATCCATGCCTCGCAAGCAGTTTGGTCTCCGCCTTTTTGATCACGATGTGTCTCCTGTGAAACCTCCAAGGACTAACAGGAGCACTCCTGCTCGCAAAACACCTTCACACGAAATTTCTACCACTTCAATTCACACCCTCTCACACGCAGCCTCGCTGTCAATGTCTTCAGCATCAAAGCAGTCGGCTGGCCTACTGCCCGGATCACCTAAGAAACGCCGACCACCTTCATCCACTACATCAAACACCACTAAAACTACTAGCCCTGCCCTTGACACCAGATCAATCCGAAATGACAGACTAGGTACGTTAGTCCAAACCTTTGCTCAGCCTACTCAAAGGCAGAGACGCCTACTCGAAGGCAGAGACGTGGGAATCCTTTGTCACCGACTTCAGAGGGTGCACCTACCTTGCTCCGAACCTGGAGGATGTCGACCATCCTGCCATCCCCTTGCTCTGCCACTGGAGAGACCATGGGGTCCCCGTACAAAACGAATCACATCGAGAACAAGTTCTGGGCCGTCCTTCCATTCGACCTCGTCAAGGACGAACCCTCTCTCCTTCTATCTGCTGCTGTGGTAAAGGTGGAACGAGACCGAACACCCCGACTCATCAGCGACCACACCTGGAACTGCGGTTGAACCACATCACATCACGCGCCGCCCGAGGCCATGCAATTTGGAAATGCCCTGCCGCGCATTTTGTACAATGTGCGTCACGCAAACCCCAAGTTTGAACCCGTCCGACTCTGCAAACATGACATCAAGGACGGCTTCTACCGCATGTTCCTGAACCCTTCCAACTGCATCCGTCTCGCGCTGGTGCTGCCTCGCTATGAAGGTGAGCCCCAACTGGTGGCCGTCCCAATGTCATGCACCGTGGGATGGGTCGAGTCGCCGCCCACTTACAGTGGGATGTCGGAAACTACCTGCGACCGAGCAAATGAACGCTTCCTGAAGTCCCCCAGAGCCTGTCCTCCACACAGACTTGCGCATCATGCCGAGGGAATGCAATAAGTTTCAGTTCCAGTACTCAAGTAGTGGACTGGACCTCGCTGAAACCCTTCCTCAGGTACAGCGGTAGTCAGGCAGTTCAGCTAGGGATCCTTGTCGTGCCTCAGGAGTGTCCAACACCTCCAGTAGGCACCCAAACCAAGGACTTGGCCCTGTCAGTCAGACAGGAGGGCCAGCAGAGCTCTCTGCTGGGCCCTTCTGGGCCAGCTCACCTCAGGAGCTGGTGGCCTTCGTTATTCAATCGTGCAGTGGCAGTCTGGGAACAGTACTATCTGCTACCTCCTACTGCTTCTGCCCGGCCTCAACAGGATAGGTATCAACTGCTGCGGTATCAAAGGGGCTACAAGCTAATCAGGATCGGTCTCAATCTTTCGTACTATTTTCTTAACTATGGTAGAAAGGACGATCCTTTCTTGCTGCTTTGGCTGGGGATAAGCCAGCTGTGGGTGCTGGAGCTGTAGGCCAGCATAGCTGTTGGAGCTATCTCTGACGGGATCCAGAGCTCTCGCTCCTAAAAGTTATCGCTCCCCACAAGTGCGTATGGATCCGCTCTCATGGGAATGCCACGATATACGACTAGTTACTAACTAACTATCTACAAACGCTCCCCATGAATGGAACATCCATGGGCCACTCAGCATCGGCTGCTAGTGGAACACAATGCGAGATTGGAGATCTCACAAGTGGAGGGACTTCCATGGTTGGTCAGGTGCTGGGCCAAAGGTAGGCAAGTAGTTGCCTGGTCCATCAGCATTGCCAGACTTAGAAGGTGGATTGCGTGCTTCATCAGCATGACCAGACTCGGTAGGTGTCAGCGGTGCTGGGTGCTATCATAGTTGTTGTTTGTTTTCTTCATATGTAGACAAATATTCGTGGCTTTGCCACAGGCCGAATTCAGCGGTGGCAAGCTCTCAGTGGAGCGGCCTTCTTGCCCCGCAATCCTGTCCCTTGACGGATGGGATGGATGGGCTGTACCAGACAGGGACGTAGCCTAGTTGCCCGTCCGAAAATCCAGGGACGGTGCTAGCAGCACAGACTGGAGGGCTCCAATCCTATGTGCCATCATGGAAGCAAACACATGATGGAACCACA